ATGATTACTTTTGTGTACCGTTTCACCTTAATTGATGTTGTAAATTGCATTTAATAATGAACATTGTAAAATGTAAATTGCAATATTTCCGGCATGCGCGTAGCCATGTATATTGCAAATTCATTAAAGGTACTTGTCACGAGTGAAGCGTTTAGATTAAACCGTATATATTCAGAAACAAATGTACAAAAATTGTAAATACTGATTTTGTCCCTCCGTGCTGGTTACGCTATTCCGGTAACTAAACAGTGAGAAATGAAATCGACCAGTAATTATGAAGATTACGGCCCTGAATAAAGTAGATTTTAACTCTGTGCGTTTGCCATTATACGCCCTCCCGCCTAGTTACGAACGTTGCTATACTCATGATGAGCACCTGAAACGTCATTAACAGAATTATTTTTTTATATCCGATTCGGTTATTATATTCATAGAGGACCATTGTGACAGGTTATTGAGCACATGGTGCAGTTGTACACAATTCATAAAATATGTGTATATTGTACAATAGATATGCAGCACGTGCAGAAACACCAATACCCACATAATTACACACGTCAGTAAACAATAACAATGTTGAGATTATAAATATGAATAATAGTAAAACCGATATCACTAAATAATGATATAAATGATAAATATATTAATGTTAAAAAAGGCAAAACTGAAATTGGTAACAATATTAACACTACAAACAAGATAAACGATAAGCGATAAGCACGTAGATAAAATAACACTGTAAATGACTCTAAACTCCGAGAATTTCATGAATAGCGTAGTTAAATGCAGCTGTCGTTGAAGAAGTTATTTGCTATATTACACATATTGGAAATGATGACACACTTATGGTAACAGTGATGATGAAGAGCCAAGCAAAGTAAATGAAGGCGACAAACTGTTACACGCCACAGGTTTTGAAATAGATGAGGAGAGGGTATACGAACTCCTCACTCGATGCATCCCCGTTCGGGAGATTTTAGTTTCTCTCTTTCCCCTTCTCAAGATATCGTTAGGTTTTCTGTCTCTGGCAGTCTGGAAGGTTTGTGAACTGACACATTTGATAAAAAGCCTATTGAGTCGGTTGGCGATAGAGACGAGATTGCATCGGTCTTGTCACATGTATCTGGCTTGCCTTCAATACGCTGTATGCAGGATACTAGACTGGCGCGGTCAGGGCGCTAATTTGTTTTTGTAGTTTAAATAAAACTCGCGAAATGTAGGTGTTAACGCGAAATCATCCCAGTCGGAGGATTTCGCGGTTACAGGGGATTTCGCGCTAACACTTCCATTTCGTGATTTTTTTATTTTATTTAAACTACAAAAACAAGTTAATTGCCCGACTGCTCCATTCTAGCAGGATACGTGTCCTGAAATGAAGGAAAGAATTCTGTAAGGTGAATCATTGGCATGTTTTGTGAAGGAATCGTTTAATTAAGCAGTTTACTACTCAATTCATTATTAGAAGAAAATAATTGTATCATTAATGATTATTGGTTGTTATGGCAACAACAAACATTTCCAGTTTAAATCTAGTCAAAGTGGTGGGATATCGGCCAATTTAACATGCAGCAACTTACCAAACAATATACTGCACAACTAACACACCATTAAACAAGATTTCTGTATGAATATAAAACAGTTGGAAGTGATTGCTAATAGATTTCTGAAAAGCGAGACTTGCTCGAAAACATTGTCAAAACTAAAAGGACAAGCGCGGCCATATGCGCACGACACCAATGTCAATTCAGCCATATTTTATGACTTTTATTTACTTGTATTATTATTACAGAATTTACATTTTTTTCAGATTTTCAATAACGTTCTTTCTGTGTACAAGTGTAATATGCACTATAATGTGCCTAAAAAAATGTCCGTGTTATAAGCTCAATGTTTCCTATGTAACCCACATGATATGTCTTTGTTTTATGAACAAAATGTCAAAGGTCACAGTATTATTATATGCATGCTAGTTCACAGTATAACTACCGGGGTAAGATCGCATTTGTGTTAAAAACTTGGCACACATGTTTGTTTGAGATCCCAATATTTACATTTTAAGATCAGAGGTCAAGCTAACAGTATATGTGTGTATAAGGCCTAAACTGTGGCCTGATAAAATTATGGTAATTATGTATTGCATTGTATGTATTCAAGGTCAAGTGATTGTCACACGCAACGTAATATTACCGTAATTGGTATAGTACCGGTGTGATGGTTCAAATACCAAAATGGCAACAGTAACAGAAAGACTTCCCTGGCGGCGATGATAAAATACGAACACGGAGCCAACAGATGAGGTTTCAACTGGTACTGGTATTATTATACTCTGCAAACATCAAGTACAATAACGCGGTAAAACTCCACTACTCCAACTTAAACTCCAATACAATTCAACGAGATCTCCGATCTGATCTCAGTGCTGAACAACTCCCCTATATATACCCACACTGTCTATAAATAGACCATTACATCAGCATACATAATGAGTCTGGAATTTACTACAAATTTCTAGAATATTCCACCCAGACACAGTACAGTTCTAGAACATTCTCAGTGACACGGAAGTGGTAAATAAGTCGTATGCGACAGTGATAGATCGCTGTGCAGTGCCATGACCACGAGCAATATTACGATGCATTTAATTTGAACAACACTAAAATCCCAAAATGTCAGAAAAACCCTTGATTGATTAAATTTATTTTATTTGTTTTCATATACATTGTTGACCAGGCATACTAATTGTAAGTTATCCATTTGATCTGCTGAAGCATTCCGATGATTAGGAATAAAAGTCAAAAATTTCGATAATTTTTTTATAAAAAATCTAAAATGGTAGTCAAGCCACGCTAGAGATCAGTTATTTCTACTGAATATGTGGTTATATATGTTGTATAACGAAAATCAAGTTTATTTGTTAAAGCACTTATGCAAAACAAATGCCCCAAATTTGAATCAGAAATTCAAAATGATCGGGCAAACGCGATATATACTGAATATAAAAATCAATCACTTGAAGCGCCCAGTTGAGAAATGTAACAAATCAAATATGAAATCATTAAAAAAAATACTTTTTAATAAGAAATCAAAGATTACGGCCAAACCAACTCGAGCAATTCTCAAACTTCAATGTGTTTTACACATACATGCTAAAAACTAACTTTTATATCAATATGTTCAGTTGTTCTGAGGAAGAATATTTTTGAAAATGTTGAGAGGAAAAACATTTTTTTTATTTGCAAAATTGGTAGAACATATATCAATGAATGCCCAGAAAAAGTTTGAAATAGAGTGTTACGGCTTAACTCAATCCAATATGGTTCACGAACTAGCTGACCGATACAAATTATGAAAGTCAGATGCATCAGTTTACAGTAAAGCTTATCCGCGTTTCAAATCTATGTTTAAAAAAAAAACGCGAGAGCATTCTGTACAGCGGTGACATTCATATATAGTGGATAAGGTCATATAAAACAATAATGTACATTGTAATGATTTGTGTTATGTCCTCAGCCACAATGTTTCAGTTTGTTTATTTTCTTTTATTACCCGACAGGCGTTATTGACGCTGAAAGCATATATCGAACATGTTACCATACCCCGATGCCGAACAGAACTACGGAGGACAGGTTAACCAGCAATCGGGAAAAACAAAGACACATAATACTCTTGGCCAGCAAACGAACAGGGTCTTCGTTTCTTGGAGAAATTTTCAATCGAAATCCCGAGGTCATGTACGTGTTTGAGCCTCTGTTCCAGTTTACGGAAAAGGTGATTGGTGGCAAGATGAACGCCGATGTATTCGATGCACAGTCGGTAGAAATGATTGACAGCCTGTTAAAATGCGATTTTCGTGATGGTAATTTTATAACTGAAATGCATCCGCTTTTTTGCGAAACAAGTGTTATGTCTACATCTGCAATTTGTTCGAAAAACGAAAATTTCACACAAGAGCATCTAATTAGAAATTTCACAGATACGTGTCTTGCCTATCCATATCGCACACTGAAGACAATTCGACTATATGACATTGAATTATTGAGGTCGTTTTTGGTGGATCCTTCCCTTAATCTGAAAATAATCCACTTGGTGCGCGATCCACGAGGTACGATGAACTCAAGAAAATAATTAGGAGAAGTAAACGCAGATTTTAAAAGAAAAGGTGTCATTTGGGATGAGGTGACAGATTTATGCAATGACCTGACTAAAAATTTACGTATTGTTGAGACATCCTCTTTATGGAAGAAAGATCGTTATATGTTAATTAGGTTCGAAGATATAGCTAAAAACCCGCTTAATAAAGCTACAGATATTTATAATTTTGTTCAATTAGAAATGCCAATAGAAGTCAAGCAGTGGATTTCAAACAATACAAACATAACAAGAGGAGATCCATTCAGCACAACGCGCAACTCTGCCGATGTAGCAACACAATGGTGCCATGAAATGTCATTTTCTGATATTCTCAATATACAAAAAAAATGTTCTACCAGCATGTCGTTACTGGGATACAAAATTGTCGCGTCTCCAGCAGATTTGAATAATGAGATGAATGTACTAGGACCCTTATTGATGAACAATCAAAATAAAAAATGAGGGTAATATGTGCATACAATGGGTGTGAAAATAACAAACGAAAGAGTAAGCCAGCCATATTAATAACTGTTCTTCAGTGTGATTGTGGTTTTGTAGGGAGCGATAATAGACATAACATTTCATTTCGTATTATTTCAAAAATATTAAGTCTGTCAGAATGAACCGCCAGCCCCCGAAAAATTGTGGGGCGTCCCCCAATCAAGATCAAACCCTTTGTGTTATGTTATGTATGTCAGCAACATGTGCCCCTCAAAATGTAGGAAATAGCGTTTCAGAGGGTATAGATTTCATTATTTTCTGGGAAACATGCACCCGGGCGCCCCTAGTAAGGTTGCGCCTTTAGCGTGCGGGATGGTGAGCAGATCTCGACCCCCCCCCTTACCATGCAAATGTTCGTGCCGCAAACTCTGCTGTCAACAATAATAATTTTCAGAAGAATTTATCACAGAAATGTCAACGTATTTTAAAAATCTGTCACAAACAGACTGATCTGCATTTGTATATCAACAAATTGTCAATATTGACCAACATATCTCATATATTTCTATACTATATTCATGATTTAAGCGGATTCGCATCAGATATATTGACTAGTGGTTACGCAATCATGTCTAGTCGAATTTTACAACCGAGCAATATTAAAGTAACAAAAAGTTACAAAACAGTTAACCCTTGTATATTATTCATCGTTTTTATAAATTACAAAAAATCACCTTATTCTGTTCCAAATTTTCTTGCTATAATGATTTCATTCCTAGAAAGCAGACAATAACACATTTGGGAAATTTCAAGTGTAATGTAATGTAATGTAATGTGCATTAATGATATATATACTTTCTAACAATATTAGAATATTTATTTGAATCGTTTGTTCGA